TTTTAGGTCTTCGTAGTCATTGCAATTGTTTGCGTACATATTTTTTTTCCTTTTTGCTTGGGGCCCAAATCTTCTTGTTTCATGGTACTTTATCACGAAGCTTCATGTGTGTGGAAAGTTATATTCGCTGTTTTAAACCCATTGTTGTAGTGGTCATTCATGAGCCTGGATGTCACTTTCTGTTGTTATTATTCGTTCTGGTAACTTTATGACAAGAAATAAAGTAGAACTGTTATACTGCGTTAGATTGACTGATTCTTTTTGTAACAACAATCCATACAGTCTGTATGGTAAAAGTTTGCAGAAAAAAAAGAGGCATCGAATTATGAGATCTCTTTAACTGTTTTCCCCCTTATTTAGTCCCACCCGCTTACCGTATAGGGGTTTTCATGGCGACGTGGTCAAGCTGTTTTCCTCGAAGTCTGAAGGTTTTGGGTTCGTTTTAAACCCAGTCTTTTTGTGAAGATCCCTGTCGGAGTTACGGAGGACGCGCTTTGTGTGACACTCTCGGCAGGCGGTTAGCAGTTTTGCGGAGAGACCAAGCAATTTAGGATAAAACCTGGTACGATGAAGTCGATCCTCTTGTCTTTAACCTTTAACCTGTAAGCCTGTATTACTTGGAATCCACCGTTCACAACTCTCTTTCGGATTCCACTAACGCGTTTCTTTCGCTTATATGGATTCTAAATTGTTTCCTTTAATTTCCATTATTCTAGCATCTGTTATTGTTTCATAAATGTTTTACATATTATCTGAATGCTGTTATGTTTAGAGTCATTTCAGTGTGGTTACATTTTGTGTGTGTTGTGGGTTGTATCTGTTGGCTATACGTAAGCACTGACTGTGTGAAATATAAAGAAATAATCAAACTGATTGGAAAATTAAAATTGTATAGAAAAGATCTACGATTGATTAAAAAACAAAATATGCATGGGCAGCAAAACAGAAGCTACACGAATGTTAGGAACATTTCAGAGTATAATGTGGGGAGTACGACAAGGATGTGAGTTATCGCTTGAATAATGAGAAGAGAAAATAGTAAGTAAATTGTATCCCACCAGGAAATCACACAGAGCAATAAACACCAGCTGACACAAAGTGCCACCAGACGAATGAGGAGCACCCGTGGAGATGTCCCGGAAATCCCGTTGGGGTAAATTAGAGCCCCTGGCAACAACCAGTGGGGCTTCAAAATAACGAAATATTGCATCCCACAAGGGGATGACTTATATAACGAATAATGGGAAGGTATGGTAGGTAAGGTGTACCCCATCGGGAAATTACACAAGCGATAAACACCCGGTGTTTACTTAGCAGAACAGAATTACTTTTGTTACTTAAAGAAATATTTTGCTGGTCTTACCTTGTAGAAAAAGATTGCTTTTGACAGAGCATTCTATAACGGGCATCAGGAAATAATCTTAGTACGAAAGAAATGCGTGATGCTGCCAATTTCCCATCGATTGTCGATCCGTCTAAAAAATGTGAAGCTAGCAGGAGATATCTAGTACACCTAATGACGCCAGCAAAGACCCTTAACCTTTACTTTTCTTTTAGCAAAGAAAGAAAGTTGGAGGCCAATTTTGAAAATCTAGATAAAAAACGAAACTTGGACTCGTCTATAGTTATTATCATTAATAAATCATATATGACACGTAAAATAAAAAAAATAAAAGGAGTCGGCAAAGGCAATATTAGGAGATTTCAAACAATGTTATTCATCTTCTTCTTTTTATTTCGTTCACTTGAAATAGACTATCTATATCTGCAATGTTGTCTCTAGTATGAACTTCACTGTCTTTTGTAATTCACTCAACGACCCGTAAAGTTTGACTTGCACTGATGTTTCTCCTGGCCAACAGTTTTGCCTTGATATGATGTATTGTGGACAGTATTGGAGGACATAATCTGTTGTCCCCGGTGCCAGTCCACATGTGCACAGTGCTGATTCACCGATTTAAAATTGTACATCTACATCTGAAGTTACCTTGCACTCAAAAGTTGACCACTTCATCATGTGCCATGTCGTGCGGCGAAAGCCATCCTGCTAATCCAGGAACATCAGTCCCCCCCCCCCCACCCCTCGCCTTTTTTGGGTGTTAATATTAAATTGGAATGTATGATGGTAGCAAGCGATTTTTCTTTTATTTACCTTTGTAGAAACACCTAGATGTGCCCGGATGTCATCGATGCTCAAGTTATCTAAACCTTCTCATTGCCGCGCAAATCCTCGTGTAGGTTCCAGGACTCCACTGGGGAAAATGAAGGGAGGGTGATCCCCCCCCCCCCCTCTCCATCACGCATTTCCTACAAGAAGGCTAATTAGGACTGTTTCTTTTGAAGTCGGAGCGCATCTTCCTGAGTGGACAGGAACAACAGTCAGTATTTTTTAAAAAAAATGGTAAAATGGATGTGCACGCAAAATGCACGTTCTGGAACAAACAAAAGTCCAGAAGACGACGAACAACTAGAACTTTCCGCCGGAGTTTACAGCCAGTGAACTGGCTGACTTTCTGCCCCACGAGGACATCACACAAGCGATAAACACCAGATGACACAAGTGCCACCATGTGAATGAGGATGACCGTGGAGAGGTCCCAGAAACCGCGTTCAGCCATTAGACCATATTTATGGAAAGGCTATATTGCGGCCCCTGGCATGAGCCAGAGTAGGGCCTCAAATAACGAAAAATTGCATCCTGAAAAGGACGGCAAGATGTTATAACAACAGATAGAACCCAGTGAACGCCAAGAAGAGGACTTTGACCTTTCATTCGCCTGGCCACACACAAACACACGAAACTGATTTCCCCCTGATGGTGCGGATGTCCGTGCATATAGGCATGAATCCTTAAAATAAATTGCGTGGATTTGTATCCTGGTATAGGGCGTCACAGGTCGACCCAGCCTAAAATTGGTACCAGGATGGCTGTCCTGGGGAAGTAAAGACGGCTGGTGTAATGCTGACCACATTACCCACCTAGTGCTGATTGGTCTGTAAAAGTATTGGATGCTCTTCCCATGTGCCCGATGTGCCCCTAAGTCGTGAAAATGAATCTTTAATTTTTTACTAAAACTTAAAAACGTTGTCTATGAGAAGAAAAATGTAAGTAAAGAACCATAGTCAACACATGAAGATCTACATGTCATATGATGCAAGCTCTAATTGTGTGCAGTCTACCTGAAACTTGTTTATCTTTACTTTCCGCAATATTCTGGGAACCCACTGAAGCCTAACATGTGACAAACATTGATAATTATCATGTATAAATATTTATATTTTCTGTGTGTCTGCAGGGGCTTCTGCTGGTCAAGCTAGAACTTGCAGCAACAGACGAATGGGTGTGTGATCTCGCAATAACCAGCTTTTCTTTCCTTACAATGCCATTCTGTAGCCACACATCAGTGCCACTTAAAACAAATGAATGGGCGTGAACTGTGGCTTCTGTTAAGTTCATTATTGTGGATGGTGGCAATGTGCATTGGTATATGCAAAAGTCAACGAATTGCCGTCTACGCAGATAATCAGAGATCAACTTTATATTCAGTATTATTCTTTACACTACTGCTGCATAAATCCGTGCATCCATAACAATGGCTTTAGTGTAGCTTCTTGAATAATAATCCCGACAGTCAGCAGACACGAAAACATCTACAGTTGTTGTATATCCTCGACTTGAAGCCTCGTCATGCCATTACGATTGTATAATGTGATACATACCCTTTTGTGAATTCACTTTTATTGCCTGACAACAAGAGAAGAGAAGTTTATATCAGTTATTTTCTGTGAAGTTGTGTACTGGAATTAAACTAAAGCCACATTCTGATTTAACTTGTACACTGGAATTAAACTAAATTCCCATTCTGTTTCAACTTGTGCATGGGTATTCAACTTAAATAACATTATATTTCAGCCTGTCCACTGGAAAAAAAAGCCAGAATAACATCAAAATCGAAAAGGTTCACCAGAACTAATACTAGAACTACATCATACATTTTACTCATCCACGTGATTTTAAGATAGAATCATATTATATTTTAATATGGCCACTGGAATTATAGAATCACACTGGAATATTTTTTCATAGATTACCCGTCTTCTGGAATTATGCTAGAATCCTGCTGGGTGTAGAGTTAGGTCGCATTTTATTCGAACTCACCGACTTGAATTAAAGGCAGATCGCATCCTAGTCAAACTCATCAACTTTTCTCAAAACCAGATCGTAACCTACCTGAACTCACCAACTTCAAGTAAAGCCAGATCGTATCCCACTGGAACTCGCCAACTTCAAGTAAAGCCAGATCGTATCCCACTGGAACTCGCCAACTTCAAGCAAAGCCTGATCGTATCCAACTGGAACTCGCCAACTTCAAGCAAAGCCTGATCGTATCCAACTGGAACTCGCCAACTTCAAGTAAAGCCTGATCGTATACCACTGGAACTCACCAACTTCAAGTGAAACCAGATCGTAACCTACCTGAACTCACCAACTTCAAGTGAAACCAGATCGTAACCTACCTGAACTCACCAACTTCAAGCAAAGCCTGATCGTATCCCACTGGAACTCACCAACTTCAAGTAAAACCAAATCGTAACATACCTCAACTGACCAACTTCAAGTAAAGCCAGATCGTATCCCACTGGAACTCGCCAACTTCAAGTGAAACTAGATCTTATCTCATTCGAACACGCCTACTTTTAGAAGGTCTAGACTGCATCCTGTTGAAACTCACCCAGCATTAGTCTACAGTCACCCCCTCTGTGATATCGACAAGGAAACTTGGTTTCAGAACTTCATCCATGATGCAAACTTGTTTGTTTCCACTCCACCTAAACCACCACAACGTTGCCTTAATAGCCGGAAGAACATTTGTTCCAAATTGGATGCGTTTATTGTTGATTTCGCTACAAAATATATCACACTGATTTATGTGAGAACTGAAACCAGTTTGCGGCGAACGATGACACGTGCGGTTGTCAATCAAACAGTTGAGATCCATATGACATCAATACTTGTGTTCGACACACCCTATGTGCCCATAAATCTATCGGTGCCAGCCTGGCTAATATCTGCCCTTAACTATTCCAACACAGCGCATCCTTCACAAGTCAACGACAGCCAAGTTACAGAAGTCTTCAAGGCGGCAATCGATGCATTAAATTCCTACGCGGTTCCGGTTATCTGTGTGTTAGGGATCATTGGGGACATCACTTCGTTCCTGGTGTTTGTGTGTACATCGTTTCGTTACCAACCATGCAGCCAATACCTCGCGGCCTTGACTTTTGTTGACACGTTGTTCTTATTTTCGCAGCTGATTAGCTCAATGATGACGTTTTTTCCCGCGTTAGCCTTGGCTCCTGGCTACTGCAATGTCATGGTCTATATGTCCTACGTCTGCAGCTTCCTGTCTGCTTGGTATGTGGTGTTCATGATGATTGAAAGGTATATCGCCGTCTGCCATCCGTTCAGGACATCGGCTATTAGTAATAAGAAGAAATCCATTGTCCTAGTGGCAGCCATGATGGTTTTGTCTCTAATGCTGTACTCCCATAGTGTCTTTACAACTTCCAAATCGACACAGGGCAACCCGTGCGAGGTTTCTAGAGACTATTATGACTTTATAAGCATCTTCACCTATGTTGATGCTATATTAGTTTTTGTTATACCCTTTCTAGCTATCGTTTGTTTAAACTTGAGAATAATTTTCACCGTTAGGAAGTTTCGTTTGCAGCACAATCGTTTAAACCATAGCATCAGGAGACTGCAGCGATATCACAATGCAGACAAGACGTTAAGCCTGGCCCAGGTCAGGTCAACTAAGATGTTGGTGTGGGTCTCAAGTATATTCATCCTCCTTCACTTGCCTAGTTACGTGGCTCGCCTCTATGGCCTTGTTCTACAAAAACTCCAAGGTGGTAACATCAGTGAAAGCAGTCGATTCAGATTTATGGTGGCACAGCACATCTGCCAGTTCTTATACTACCTCAATTTTGCAATTGACTTTATAGTGTACGTTATGAGTAGTAATAACTTTAGACGTAATGTGAGTCGATCAGTAAAGAACATACGTCAGTGTAAATTTCAGTGCCATTGTGAGTATAAATAATGCTGTATTTATAAAGTCACAGTTTCTTTTTGTGCAATTATACACTTGTTTCAGATCAACCGGTGATATATTCATTTCGAGTTACTATATGTATAAACAGTACCATTTGCTTTTTTGTACAAAAAAGTCGCTACACACTGCGAGATATACTGAATTGTGATTTTCGAGCGCCTGTCGTTTGAATAAATAGCTCATTGTGTCAAAGGGATAATTTCACAACATACAAATATCAGGAAAACCACTTCGACTGGATATAATCAAAAACGTTGAGAGGTGAACATACCCACATGTGTTCGTACACTGCTATCATCTGAACTAGGAATATTCCCTTCCCGAAACATGATCTACATGTGGGCTAATGGCCTTGCACTTTATTACGAGTATTGGCATGACCTCCATAAATGAACAGATGCATTTATTATCTAACCTCTTTAGATGAAAATATTGTTAAAATCTAATCAAATAAGGTCTAAGCACAATTTATAAAATATTTAAAGTGTATATCCACTTGTGTGTGCATGTATTCATATTTCGATAAAAATTTTTACTTTTTAGCACAACTATTATATAACATTAGAATGTTGCATCTATTAGGACATATGCTAACACAAAATTTGTGTAATGATAGCTGTCCGTTGTAGCAATACGAGGTCGTATGAATCCAGTGGGGGAAAAGAAGTTTTTAATTTAGACTGATTATGTTAACAAACGTCATACCAAACTAGGGCAAACACAAACCATGTGCAATAATAAACAGATGTAACAAAGAAATAAAGATCCTTTTTCACGCCTTAGCGCATGTGGCATATGGGAAGAGCACCCAAATTTTTACAGTTCAATCAGCACTAGGTGGGTTATGTGGTCAGCATTACGCCAGCCGTCTTTACTTCCCCAGGATATACACCCTGGTACCCATTTAAGGCTGGGTCGACCTGCGACGCCCCATACCATGATAAAAATCCACGCAAACAGCATTGAGTTTCGATCACGGTGCGTTGGAATTACGAGTCGGACTCGCAACGTCTAACCCCACGGACGCATGAATAAGTGTAACACAGAGTAAGTGGGGGAACATAACACGTAAGATATTGGAAAGAAGTAACACACTGGCTACACACAAAATATTTACCGCGTAGCAATTGTAAAAGCATGACAAATTGAGCATGGGTGCACTGAAAACAAGCACGGTGTATGACTATCGACAAGAGTGGATGTTTATTTTGCTAGCTCTAACAGAATTGTCCTAGAGCAGGTCTGATCAACTGAAGGTGGCCCGCGAATAATTACGAATTGTAAAGTAAGTAAAGCACCCTTTTACACGTCTTCAGGCGTATAGGGCTAGACCTCAATTTTGTAGACGAAGCGGCACAAGATGGGTGATGTTGTCAGCATCACACCTGCTGCTTTTACTTCCTGGGACTGCACCCGGTACCCACTCAAGGCTGGGTCGACCTCAGAGCCAAGGTCATATTTAAAGGGGAAAAAAAGTCCGGCACCACCAGCGAGCAAACCCATGATCTTCTGATCCGCAGGCGAACGTCTAGCCGCTCCGCCACGGCGACTCTCCCTGAAAACTTATACCACTCAATAATTGTAAAAGCATGAAACATTGAGCATGAGTGTACTGAAAACAAGCACGGTGTGAGACTCGACAGGCGTGGATGTTTATTCTGCTAGCTTTAACAGAAAAAAATCATAGAGCAGGTCTGTTCAGGCTCTGTGGCTAAATCGATGCGAACGCTTCGTAATGTCGCAGTGCCGAGTTTGATACCAGCTGCGAGCCATGCGTCTTGCGTTGGTTTCGACAGTGGTATCAGAGAGCCGACTGTCCAGTAATCAATGGCAAACTACTGGACGTAAATTTGCCTAGAGAAACTACACAACAGCCAGGGGCTGCTGGGGTTGGTTTTGCAACGTCATCTAAGAGATGCGCAACTAACCTAGGTGGGGAGTCGCCGTGGCCGAGCGGCTAGACGCTCGTCTCGGATCGGAAGGTCGTGGGTTCGCTCCCTGGTGGAGCCGAACTATTTTCAAAAATTACCTTGGCTCCCAGGTCGACCCAGCCTTGAGTGGGTACCGGGTGCAGTCCCGGGAAAGTAAAGACAGCCGGCGTCATCACCCATCTTGTGCCGATTGGTCTGTAGCCCTATATGCCGTATACGCCTAAAGGCGTGGAAAAGGGTCCTTTTTTTAACTAACCTAGGTAAGGTCTTTTCAACAGGATGTGGCCCACGGATTATTAACGGTGTATTCTTTATATTATTGCTGTGGCTCTATCCACTGGCCCGTGACGATCCCCGTTTTTTTTTAATGTGTCCCTTGTGTACGTTTTAGTTGTGCTAGAGGATGATCAGATAGATTACCATATACAGTAACTGATTTTGTAAGGTTAGTTGCGTATCCTTTACAGGACGTTGCAGAACCAACCCAAACAGCCCCTGGCTGTTGTGTGGTTTTTCTAGCCAAATTTACGTCCAGTAGTTTGCGAACGGTCGGCTTTCTTGATACCAGTGTCGAAACCAACGCGAGGCACATGGCCCGCAGAGATCAGGGATTTCCAGAGTTCAAGGATTTTGTGAAGCTAAAAAAAAAAAAATTAATTTAAACAAAAGAAACTAAAGGTATCTGTATTTTTTAACTCCTCATTATTTTGACTGACCCTCCTATTCTCGTGCGAGTAATTTCGAAGTAAACATAATTCCCCACGTTGTAACGACAGGGGCAATTAATTTGGCAAACAATCCCTTTTCAAACCCAGACTCTTTCAGATATATATAATGATGTATGTTTACAATTTGTGAAAGTTAATACGTTATCAGACATGTGCTATACAGATTTAGCCATTCTGGAGGCCATTAATTTACAGTAGATTACCTTTGTTGCATATTTTATTAAGGAAACGTTTCCGAATTATTTGCTAAAATTATCCGATTTGCAACAGTATTTAGACAAAGAAACTCCATCTAGGTGGTTGCACTGCCAAAAAGATACTAGAAAATTATGCTGCCTGTATATCAGGGCTCGTAAACAGTTAACAAACATACATTTTGTCTTGGGCAATAGTTAAAAATTGGCTCCTGGTGTGTGAACCAAGCTCCACAATTTCAAAATACCAGAATTTAAAACAGTCCTTGGCGGTTTAGCAGCAGACCCGTTTTACTTTGATTTTGACAACGGTATGAGCTTTGTACATTTCGAGCTACTTAAAATAACTGAGATGCTTAGTAACTGAATGACTGATTTCGCAGATTCGATGTGGGGAAGATTAGGCAGTACAATAAAACAATATTTATTTCTATGTTCTATTTCTATTATTGATAATCATCATGACTCTTTTTATGGTTGTTGAATTTAAATTAAGAATGGACATAACATAATTCTTGATATTTTTATAAGCGCTCCGTCCCCATCTTCAGCAGCTGGCGCTGAGCTTTTAAGCCGATGGTACCAGTAACAGTCTGACTGTATGTGTGTTTCACCTTTCCCTTGAGTTTTGAGCATCTGCCAGATCCCCCTGGTCACACATCCTAGCATTCTATCTTAAAACCTTGATAATCTCTTGTGCCTTCGCACAGTTCACTCGCTCCTGCAGTACCTTAACGACATATAGCTTACCCTGCATCATTTAACCATCAAGTGGTGCAGAACCAATCAGTCTATCTGCCTATTCGTTTTCCAAACACCAGCATCACCCTATTGAAAAATTTTCGATTAAATTAAAAATAATTTCTTTGAAAATACACACACAAAATCGTTATGTCGCTATGTAATTGAGAATCACATTATGTAATAAATCATGTCATTGAAACACTGGTGTTTAAGTTTTGCTTCTATTCACTCGCAGAATTTGTAACTTGTCTTTCTTGTCTGAGATGCTGGCATTTTTGTTTTGATTATGTTCACACATTTGTTATGATTCTGTTCACACATTTGTTTTCATTATGTTCACACATTTGTTATGATTCTGTTCACACATTTGTTATGATTCTGTTCACACATTTGTTTTGAAAATGTTCGTACATTTGTTATCATTCATTTCACACATTTGTTATAATTCTGTTTACACATTTGTTTTGATTCTGTTCACACATTTGTTTTGATTCTGTTCACACATTTATTCTGTTCACACATTTGTTATAGTTCTGTTCACACATTTGTTCTAATTCTGTTCATACATTTGTTATAGTTCTGTTCCCACATTTGTAATGATTCTGTTTTAATCACAAGAACGATGACACGTGATTGTTCTCTTAACCTTTTTAATTCGCAGGCAGTGTTAAATTCAACAGTGTTTATGCTAAAGTTGTTGTATCCTATAGCAACAATGTCTTATTCTCATCAAGCCAAACATATACAGCTTTCGATGAGAAGGTATTATAGTAACAGCTGGAATATAAGGGGTTAGCATTAAACAAACAAAACAAAAAAGAATGGGACAGGACCAAGAAATAAATGGGTACCACACATAGAATCTGTGTTTGTGGCTTAGGTGTTTGGAACGTGCTTTGTAATGCTGAGGTATCCAGTTTCATCCCAGCTGAGGACGATGTTGTCAAACTAACATCCTGTCTCTTTTCACATTCAAATTTCATCTTACATAATCAGTTTCACTTACTATGAATGACGAGCCGAAGAAAAATAGAATTCTCGTCGTTTTCATCTTCTTATTCTTCTTTTTCATCTTCTGTTTCTTCTCCTTCTTTCTCTTCTTTTTCTTTTTCTTATTTTAATCTTGTTCTTCTTCTTCTTCGCTTTGTTGTTGTTGTCTGGTCTACTTCTGACTTTAGTCTTGCTCTAGAACTTGCTTTTTTCATGCACATCTGTTTTTACAGGACTGGCTTATTTGTACGCAGACTGTTGGTTTCTTGTCTGTCTGTACCTCAACTTTGAAGAGATCCCCAATTAGTCGACACTTACAACTTGCTTTTGACTAGTAAAAAAAAAAAAAAAGTAAAGTTCCCTTTTCAATTAGGGCATATGGGCACATATTTTTACAGACC